CTGATGGATTCCTTATCGCCCCTTTCAAAACTTTCTGGAGTACCTTCCGTCCCGACTTCTTCAATTTCTTCCAGGAATTCTTTCATAGGGGTATCATTCACAAAGCCATAAATGCCACCTTCATAGCCCTGGTGCCTAAAATCGAAGGGGCTGAGGAAATCAAGGACTTTCGACCCATTAGCCTCATGAATTCCACCAACAAAATTCTGGCTAAAGTTCTAGCCTCTAGACTCCAGAAAGTACTACCAACTGTCATCTCCCCTTCCCAATCTGCCTTTATCCAAGATAGGTAGATCTTGGACGGGGTCCTAGTAGCTAATGAATGTCGCCACTCTAGACACCTAGCTAAGAAACCAGGTTTAATCTTCAAAATAGACTAGGAAAAAGCCTACGATCACGTAGACTGGTCTATCTTAGATGAAACCATGTCGAGGATGGGCTTCAGAGATCGTTGGAGAAGGTGGATGCGGGGATGTTACTCCAACCCCCATTTATCCATCCTCATTAATGGATCACCAAAGGGTTTCTCCCCGGCTCACAGGGGCTCTACCAAGGGGACCCCCTCTCCCCTTTCCTCTTTGCCATTGCCACGGAAGTCTTCTCTAGATCCCTCGCCCGCCTCTACCAAAATGGTCTCCTCTATGGCTTCACCACTAGCAACTAGGGCCCCTTGGTGTGACATCTGCAATACGCAGATGACACCCTGGTTTTCCTAGACGCCACCCGAGAGGAGATTGACACCCTCAAACTCTTCCTCTAGTGCTTCCAGACTGCTACAAGGTCAAAGTTAATATGAGTAAATCCAAAATGATGGGCGTAGCCCTGTCTTCTAACGAGGTGGCTGCCCTTATTCCAGACTGGGACTGCAAAGTGGAAGTTCGCCCCTCCACTTACCTGGGTCTTCCTCTGGGGCTAGGCAAACCCAAAAAAGGACTTTGGTCCTAGGTACTTGACAAAGTAGATAGACGCCTTTCCACCTGGAAAGGTAGATATCTCTCACCAGCAGGTAGAGTAACCCTGATCAAGGCTACCTTGGCAAACACCCCAGTTTATCTAATGTCTCTGTTCCAAATGCCGGCACGGGTGACCAACCGCATAGAACAACTTATGCGTAATTTCCTCTGGTCAGGCCAGGCAGAGAAGACAAAATTTCACCTGGTAGCTTGGGATAACATTTGCCTACCAAGAAAACACAGGGGTTTAGGGATTCGAATCCTCAGAAAGCACAACACAGCTCTTCTAGGCAAATTGTGGTGGCGCCTGGCCACTCAACCGAATGCTTTCTGGGCTCAAATATTACGAAAAAAATACAAGATCGGAGATGATACTTGGGTTCCAGAGAGCACTAAAAAACAAAGGGCGTCTGGAGTGTGGTTGTCTTTAGCTTCTTCCCTACCACAGTTCAGAAGGCACACTAGATTCCACGCTAGAGTTGGCACCAGGGTTAAATTCTGGACGGACCTCTGGATTCGTACTTCACCTTTGTGCAAGGCCTTCCCTACCCTCTCCACCCTCTCCACTGACTGTAACTCCTCTATCGCCGAGGAATTGCCCCTCGTGGGTGGAAGAAGAACCTGGTGTCCCTCTTTCCGTAGACACCTCTCTGAGGACGAGGGCACTCAGTTCCTACATCTACTGGGTACCCTATCCTCCCACTTCCTCCCCTCCTCCAGCAGTGACTCTTTGGTGTGGAGCCTATTTCCTTCTGGCCTTTTCAGTAGCCTCTTTCTACAAAGCCCTCATTCAACCCCGAACTTTCCCCCTAAACCCCACTTCTATCCTATCAAAAGTGTGGTCCACCATAACCTCACCAAAGATCCAGTTCTTTTGTTGGATTGCATCTTCTCAAAGAGCCCTCACAATCAACCAATTACAAAGAAGAGGCCTCTCCTTACCAAACAGATGTGCCCTATGTCTCTGTGAGGAGGAATCTAACCCCCACCTTTTCATTCTTTGCGACTTCTCCAGTAAACTCTGATCACTTGTTCTCCAACTTTTCGGCCTCCAATGGGTTAACCCACCCACGGTCAAAGCACTCTTCACCCACAATTTTGCTCCTCAGTTTGGCTGGGGAAATATTATGGAAGGCCACGGTGGCTGCTACAATTTGGTCTCTCTGGCTGGAAAGGAACAATAGGATCTTCAATGGTGCTCAGCTAGTCTCTTTAACCACCTTCTGGGCCTCTCAACACAAATCCTTCTCGGACATCCCTAGAAACACTTTTCTCCCTCAATGGCAAAACATTCTTAAGCACAGACCTCCCAAACCCCCAAGATTTAGCAGATGGCAAACCCCACATTCTTAAACACTTTTCTCCCTCCTGGGGTTCTACATTGATAGTGGAAGGAGATTCTTCTAATACCATATCCTGGGCAAGAGGCTTGTCCCCCCCTCCCTGGCAACTATCCTCAATCTTTGACGAAATTTCCCATTTATGCAGAGGGATACCAGCGTCTTATGGCAGCATACCTGGAGGATGTCCAACAATCTAACAGATCTACTAGTGAAGGAGGGAGCTAGTTTGCATTCGGACACTCAGACTAGGTCCAACTCCTTTTTTGTTCAGGACCTCAGCCATACTGACTCCTAGCCTAGGTCCAACTCCTTCAGCCGTACAGAATAGCGCCTCTCTCATTGAGTAACCCATTGCTTAGATTTTTGTAAATCTTGTAACATGGGCACTTCTTCTAAGCCTCTACTGATAATGGAAGACTAATGTACTTTTTACTGTGAGCCACTCAAGAAGGGTGTGCTTACAGTCTTACCCTTTGTAAACTCCCATAGCAATACAATGTTAACAGTTCAAAAAAAAAAAAAGCGAACGCACCAGTTTCTTCTGCAAAAAAGCTCAACCCTCTAAAACCAAGCGCTCAAAAAAGCCTTAATTATTTAAAATAGAGATCTCTCTCTCTCTCTCTCTCTCTCTCTCTCTCTCTCTCTCTCTCTCTCTCTACTCTCTACTACTACTACTACTACTACTACTACTACGTACTACTACTACTACTACTACTACGTACTACGTACGTACGTACGTACGTACGTTACG